GCGGGGGTGCCCCCCGCCGCCGCTGCAGAGTCGCCTGGAGCTTCGCGGGCAACTGGGAAGATGCTGGGCCCAAGTGTCCTCACCTGGGTCCTCTTGGCCGCGGGTGTCACCTGCGCCCAGGCACAGCAAGTGCCACCGGTGGGTGAGCTCCAGCCGAGGCGCAGATGGGGGTGCAGGTGCAGGCGCAGGCGGGAGGCAGGAGCAGCTGTGGTGGCGCGGGTGGGGGCAAGGGACACCTGCTCGCCGGCTGCATCTTCCGGGGACCTGAGGTTCACTCTCGCGGAGCGTGGATGCAAACACGTCTTGTGAGTCCCGGACAGAGTCGCTTTGGTGTTCTCTGGAAAGAGAACACAATTTAGGGAAGTTCTAGCTTCCATGAACGACTGGGTAGGACTCACTCATTCTCCAATCTTGGTGTTAATATTTGAACTATTCTGCCTGGTTGCCAAGTGCTTTCTCCTGAAGAAGCCCACGGAGGAAGCCGTGGGTCACAGGCAGTCTTAGCCCAGATGGTGGGAGTCGCTGCTCCCCCCTCCCCGCCCCTGTCGCTTTCACGCCCAGTCATGGAATTCCGGTCCCGTGGTGCTGTGCGACTAAGTCCCAAAAGTCACAGACTTTATTCCCTAAAACCGCAAGAGACAGTGAGGAACTAGCGCGATTCTTGCATTTAAGTACAAGAGGAAGGAACCCTAGAGTAATAATCTAGCCAGAGGTCAGTCACATCATTAGTCACAGAAACATTTCTAAATTCAGGCTCTTGGCTGCAGTCTCAGCCTGACACGGACACTTCATAAATTGATATTCTCTCTCTCTCTCTCTCTCTCTCTCTCTCTCTCTCTCTCTCTCTCTCTCTCTCTCTCTCTCTCTCTCTCTCTCTCTCTGTGTGTGTGTGTGTGTGTGTGTGTGTCTTACAAGCTATAGACCTGAAGCTGTTTGTTTTGCTTAGTTTTGTTGCCAGCAGATTTGATAACTAGGAACCTGGATGTACCGTTTGTTTACCTGAGGCAGATAACATGATGTTGAAAAGATGGAACATTGAAAGTGGGAACAGTAGGAGTTTATTATTCCTGGAAGGAGAAATGCTTTTTTACTTAAAAAGGGGGGGGGCAGGATATTATCCAATCACCAGAGTAAATGAACACTTAGCAGATAAAAGTAGAATGCAGAAAAGCATACATAAGAGTAACTTAAGTGACCTAAAACCATATAGTATGTACAAACGATTGAAAGATGATAATGAAGAACTGTTTGCTCTGGTGTGGGTAGAGAATTAATTTTCTGAGGTAGGTTGGGATTCAGAGAATTGTTACAGGTTGTGGTATTTTGGTAGCCTGTGCCTTTTATCCAAAGATTACCAAAGGGACATACTAATAGTTGAGCAAATTAGGTTTAGTGTTGAAGGGAAGGACCGAGAAAGAACTACAGGTTAAACAACAACAAATTAAAAAAAAAAAAACTTGTTAGAGAATTTGGATTTAATCCAGGATTGGTTCTAGATTGGGTGTCTTTAGAATGCTGAGGAATTCCTGGATAACAAGTAGCATTCTTTTCTCTTAGCAGTGGAAGGGCGTGTTGTGTTTTGAGCTACATGCTGCTCGTTATTCATGTGTGGACAAGATTGTGACCCAAGCTCACTTTGTCTCATTTTAATGTCCCTGAGGAATTTAATTCTCTGAGTGTATTTGTGTCCAAGAGCACAACACAAATACCAGGGGTCCCACAGGCCTGCCTGGTGTTAATTAATGTCAACTATGAACCGAAGAGTAGTTTCATGTACTGAGAGCTGGTTATTATTATTTTTTAATACTTTGTTTTTAAGGTAAGACATCTTATTGTTTGTTTCCTGATTTGTTTTTTCAGTTCTAGAGTGCTCACCCTGGACAAGGTGAAGGCAAGCTCTTCACACCGAGTTACATTCCTAGCTCAAGCAAATATTTGAGCCCTTCAATTGTTTTAATAGGTTTACTCAGAACTGTAGGTGGAACTTTCTTTTGGCCTCCAGCTTACAAATACAGAGACTTCTTATTAATTATGAAAGCTTGGCCTTCAGCTTAGGCTTGTCTCAACTAGCTCTTATAACTTAAAGTAACCTGTTTATCTTAATCTATGTTCTGTCATGTAAAAACCTTTCTTCCATCTTGCACCGCCTCTTTCTTCTCTGGCTAGCTGGTGACTCTCACCGTCCAGATTCTCCTCTTTCTTTCTCTCCCCTCAAGTCCCACCTATATCTCTTGCCTAGCTATTGGCTGTTCAGCCTTTTATTACTCCAATCACAGCAATACACCTACATACAGTGTACTAATATCCCACAGCATTTCCCCATTTTATCTAAATATGGAATGGGCTTTGGGAGCCTTTATATTTCTCAACCTTATAAACTTTACATTTCTTTTTTAAATAAGTTTTTGTTTAAATTAAAAACAATCTAACTTTACATACCAATCCCAGTTCCCTCTCCCTCCCATCCTTCCATGCCCCCCCCAGCCACCATTCCACCCCCCCATCCACTCCCCAGGGAGGACAAGGCCTCCCATGGGGGATCATCAAAGTCTGTCATATCATTTGGGGCAGGACCTAGGTCATCCCCCTTGTATCTAGGCTGAGAGAGTATCTCTCCATAAGAAATGGGCTCCCAAAGCCCATTCGTGCACTAGGGATAAATACTGGTTCTACTGCTAGGGGCCCCATACACTGCCCAGGCCTCCCAACTGACACCCATGTTCAGGGGTCCTGGTTCAGTCCTATGTTGGTTCCCCAGCTATCAGACTGGGTTCCATGAGCTCCCACTTGCTCAGGTCAGCTGTTTCTGTGGGTTTTCCCAGCATGATCTTGACCCCTTTGCTCATCACTCCTCCCTTTATGTGGCCTTTTTCTTTTATATTATTTTACTCTCTTTAAAGACTTTATTATTATTATTATTATTATTATTATTATTATTATTATCTGCTGGGATTAAAGGCGTGCGCCACCAACACCCGGCAAGACTTTATTATTTTTAAACTATGTATTTTTTATGACTATACCCGTTTTCTTTTCTTTCTTTAGCATCTAAGTACATTTTTAAGTATACTATATCTGTTCAGAGGCTTTCTCAGTCTAGACCTGACTTTCTGTGGGTTTGCAGTGTTCCCTGACCATGTGAGCCAAACCTTAAACTGATGAGCAGCACCTAGGCCCTCCACTGCATGGCTCCATTTAGCACATGACCTGGCAACTGGCTCTGCCCACTTCAAGCTGGTGAGAGTGGAGCCTCATGCCTGTGGGCCCCAGCCTGGAGCTGGTCTGTCCACCCCAGCTCTGGGAAGTTTTTGGGTCCACACTGCAGTAGGCATTTCTGCCTAGTCTCCTGTCACCTAGTAGTATGCTGTTGGGTGCTCATAAACCCCATTTAAGTCCTAGGTAGCAGGTCATTTTAAAGGAGCTGTGCCTGTGTATGCTGCAAGCACCAATTCTACTCAGGACTTTTTTTTTTTTCAGTTTTCTCAGTCCCTATGTTGATTTGTATGTCCCACTTTGGGCGCCAAATGCAAGCTGATTTTTCTTTTGGCATCCAGCTCACAAATAACGACACAAAGACTTCTTATTAATTATGAAAGCTTGGCCTTTACTTTAGGATTGTCTCAACTAGCTCTTATAATTTAAATTAACCTGTTGATATTAATCTACATTCTGTCACATGGCATTACCTCTCTTCCATCTTGTACATCATGTTTCTTCTCTGTCTGGTGACTCCACCCTTCTAGATTCCTTCTCCTCTTCCTTTCTCTTCCCAGAAATTCCACCTATACCTGCCTAGGTATTGGCCATTGAACTTTATATTGCACCAATCACACCAATACACGTTCACACAGTGTACAAATATGCCACAATGCAGAACAATGAATATCAAAATCTAGTCAGTCTACTGGGTACTGATTGGGAAAGTGTTTCCATGGGTCTTCAGTGAATGAAAAGAAAATAAGGTTAAAACAAAAATCAGGAATTTTCCATTCTGGTCTTATGGCCACTTTATTGTCATTTAACTATTCTCTCATTAAATTAATGACAAAGACAGGTGTTATGTAGAAGGGATTTATTTTGTTTTAAAAATCTTTACTTACAGAATAAAACCTGGGACCTTTTTATGCTGAGGCACTGTTAAAAATTTTCACTCATCTTAAAGATATTGGGACCCAATTCCCAAAACACCCTTCAGAGCTGCCTGGAAGACTGGTGACTTTATTCTTTGACAGAAAAGAAGGCAGTTGTTTTTTTGGGTTTTGTTGTCTTGGTTTTTGTTGTTGTTGTTGTTTAAATCATTATATGAATGATAAACTGTATGAATTATAGCCAAATATATTTTGGGTGGTTACCAAACATATTTCCATGTGACCAAATATATTTCAACATACATAAATATGGATGAGGGCCAGTTTAAAAAGACAAATGAGTTATTTGGTTTGAAACATCAGCTGGGCGTTTTAAAAGTTTTGTATTTGAGGCTTTTTTCAGTATAAGTAACTGAAAGTCATCTTAAGCTATTCTTCACTATTGCTTCTATGAAGATTCCATTAACATATGGAGCCAGGCAGTGGTGGTGCACGCCTTTAATTACAGCACTAGGCAGGTGGATCTTTGTGAGTTTTGAGGCAGCCTGATCTACAGAGTGAGTTCCAGGGTAGCCAGAACTACACAGAGAAACTTTTGGACAAAGCAAATGTCTGTGTGTGTGTGTGTGTGTGTGTGTGTGTGTGTGTGTGTGTGTGTGTGTGTGTTTGTATGGTCTGATGGAAATATTGGGGGGTCTAGGAGTAATGAGCATGTTTGAAGCCATTGGAGCAGACAAGCTCTTCTACAAAGAGTATAAATGAGAAGATGAGAAGCTGCCAAAATCTAAGTGAGTTTCCCATGTGTGTGTCAAGTAAAGAAGAACCCAGCAAAGCTAACACAGCAGCCCAAATGGGAGAGCTCAGCATGAAGGACAGGCAAGAAAGGGAAGGAGATGGGTTACTGCTTTGAAATACCATTGAGCATAAAATTTCCATTCTGCTTACAGACAAGAGGTTATTGGTTGTCTTGTTCTATGTGGTATAGGGACAGAAAATAAATAACAGCAGAATGAGGAGTGATTAGAAGGAAAGGAACCAGAGTTAGTGAAA